GATGCATAAGGGCTTCAGGGGGGCAGGCCAGCCATTGGGCTTTGCCCAGTTCACCAGTGTAATGATTTGTTCTGGGCCCCCAACCAGCCGTAAGGCAGACTGCAGGCATCTGAATCCCAGGGGATGATCCCATAAATCTCTGGATGGACACTGAGGAAAACATTAGTGAGTTTAAAAGTGCCATTTAGATGCCTCTAGCAGGAAAACTGTGCAGATGATAACTGATAATTCCCACATCACGTCCTCACTGACAAAGAAATGGGAGATTCAGGTTGCTGACCACCCTTCACTCATGGTAGTTAAAACTCAGAGTTAATAGTTACAAGAAACTCCTTCAGTCACTAAACCGTGGAGTTTTTTGCTGATAGTGCCTCATGGACACAAGCACTGAGCCATGCACACTGAACACAGGGTTGTGCGCAGGGCACTGAGCTCACCAGAATACTCTGCATCTAGAACTTGGGTTAAAATCACTGAGAGTTTAGTAAGAACTGAGTTTAATAAGAGTTTAAAAAGAACTAGCACATAAGTGAGGACATGGCAGAGCTGGGCTGGTGCCTCCAGTCCCTCCCTGCCAAAGGGACTCAAGGCAGCACCTCGCACTGATAGCCCTGCACCAGGAACCCAATTCTGTTCCTCTTCCCTGAGTTCCAACCCTTTTTATTGTCCTTCACACAGGATGAAAGCAAAGATTTTGTGCCCAGTTCCAGAAGAAAACAATACGGCTCCTCTGAGTATCTCTCACAGGTTGACACAGCAGGGAAGAGGCCAGCCACCAAGATGGAGCTGCAGGACCCTGAATCCAGCCCCCCTGCACCACTGAGCCTCCAGGGAGAGGAGCAGGTATGTGAGTTGAAGGACCATCCAGAACAGAGAGTTACAAGGCAAGAAGCCAATATCTGAACTGACCTCCCCATAACATAGCTTAGAGAACTTCTCCAAAATGAACGTAAGCCTTTTAGGGGAAATCCAGTCTGAAATCAGCACTGCTGAGAGGTGGGGTGTCTCCTGCATTGCCTCCATCAATTATTCTGCTCATTCCCTGTAACGTTAGAAATTACTACCTTATTTTTTTGTTCTAAACTTGTTTCAGCTAGTTTTATGGCTACAAATAGTCTCTAGGGAATAAGAGGCACTGCTTCTAGTCATCCTCTGGCACAGACTGGACAATCAGGGATGGGAAAAGCAACCCATTTGGAGAGAGAAAACCAGAGTCCCTGACTTAGCTGCTTCAGCTGGCTGCTGTACCACTAGTGTGCTTGGCTGCTGCTACATACCTGCTGCTCTGCCTCCTGAGACACATCTTTCTGGAGACATGAAGAAGTGGAAAATGGGCCACATTATAGTGACTGTGACTTATTGCCTGAAAAAAGCTCCCTTCAGAAGAGGCAGGGATCTAGGCCTTTCATTCCTAGGCGCGCAGCCATGCTTCTGTCTGTACAAAAGACTTTGTCTCCTGGAATTCCCTATGGGCCTGTGCAGCAGAGCGCATCTTTCCCTTTATGGATCAGCCACAGCAGGAAATACCTTAAGACCTCAAACCTGTTGTCAGTGTATCCTACTGGATGTGCACAGGAGTTGCTGAGTCTTGCTGTGGGAGCAGCAGAACTGCAGGGAGGCAGCCCTGCACAGTCACACCTCTGGGTGAAGCGACAGAAAACAAAGAGCCCAGAGGGATGTGATCCCAGCTGAGATTTGCAGACTGCCATTTAGAGACAGGTAATGTTTGCAGTAGAGAGCAGTGAACTTACACTGTCCTTGGTGGTAGCCAAGGAAACGGACCCCGTAGTGATGCTCTCTGTGGTCACTGGGAAGTGTTACCCAGATGCAGACTCCTGTATCTGAGGCTGTGCTGTGCTTTCTTTGTCTGCACAGACTGGGTCAACAACAAGTAAAAGCTGGGTTAAAGTCAGGTCCCCATAACATGCACACTGACAGTTTGAGCTTCTGTCTTTGCCCAGACCTGCACCAGCTGTAACGGGATCCTGAACACCTTGCACATGGAAGATGTGCTCTGACATTAGATCAGCTCCATCTCCTTTGTGTTGGCAGGTGTTGTGCCTCTTACTTGCCAGAACCACACACAGGGTGTGAAGTGGGTGCACTGTATGCTACAGCATTCAAAAAGCTAATAGGTCCTGCCTGGGCAGGGCAGGGCTGGGTCATTCTGCTTTGGGCTTACTGCACTGTAAACACTGGCAGAACCTGTATCTTCCAGCCTGATCCTGCCACTGCCCTTCCCTGCCCCACCACTGGGCTAGGACCCTGATGGGCTTTGGGATGGCTGCCTATGGGCTATCATGATACTCTTCCCCAGAGCAAAACTGCTGCCAGAGGCAGCTGCAGGTCCTGGCCAGTCTGTGATGCTGCAGGGTTGTGTCTTACAGGGTGCTTCCCGTGCCTGCCGGACAACATCCCGGAGATGAGCTGTATTCCCTTCCACCCAAAGAACACTCTGCACAGTGGAGCAAGAGGCAGGACAGTACCACGCTCATGGGCATCCCACCTATTTGTAGCCTCTGCACAGGCTTCAGCAAGCCTGAAACCAGTTTTCTAATGCGATTTGCAAGGTACAGGAGCTTTACCAGTGAATTCATTTCCTTCTTTGCTGAAGAGGCAGCTGCAGAGACTTTGCTCAGGGGACTCCCACTTCTCATCTCTGTACCTGCAATCTTACATCTTCTCCATAGGATGATAGGTCTGTCTCCACATGGAAGTCTTGACTGCACAGCCACTCTGAACGATGGTACTCCCTGGACAAGAGAGAACTTCTTAATCACTTGCATTTAGACAAGATCCTAGAAGTATCCCTGTGGCTACAGTCCTCCAGCCCATGGCAGCTGTCCTGCATGGCTCCACAGCCAAAAGCTTTCTGTTTCTAGGGAGAGTTTGCATTCTCCTAATACACCCTTGTTGGCTTGGGTTGTGGTCTCCTCAGTACCTGTGTTCCCAGCACCCTCTGTCACAAGACAGGAGGAAACCATTCCCCACTGGTTGCTTTACACATTAAGAGTGAAGGAGAGCAGAAAATATTGTTTAGAAGCAGTTTCTTCCCTATTGCTGTCAGTCCCTGCAACAAGCTTTGCATGACCTACTCATCACAAGCTGAGATCTTGCACCAAGAAGTCAACCACTGAGCCAAACCAGCATCAATTCGTGCAGCAGTGAAACCCCCTCCCCACTTGGACTGGGGTGCTTTTTTACCTGAAGCTTTATGTCTCTCGTGCTCTGCAGCCAACAGCTCTGCTGCCCTTTCTCAGCAGTTGTGCTCCAAGGGAAAAAAGAAACACAGACAAGCAGGATTCCTTGTTCCTTTCAAAAACAGGGTGGAGACAGTGGGATCAGAACCCAAGATGAGCCCCAGTGAGGCTATCTAGGCAGCTTCGGTCCGTGCACCTCCTCAGGACCACCCCATCTGCTGTGTCTGGGACTCAGGTATGGTCAGAGTCTGCTTCAAATAGAGGTACGTTACCCGGCCAGTGCCCACGGGCCACTGAGTGCAGATGATATTGCTGCTGGGGGGAGACACGGACCCCACAGCTCCAGGAGATGCTCAGGTGTTGGAGCAGCATCTGCCCTGAGCAAGGTGATTGCAGGTGGCTCACAGAGTCAGAGCTCTGCCGGTCCTTCCTTCGCATCCCACCGCCCCGCTGCAGGACGGGCTCATGGTTCTCCTGTCCTGTGCCCAACCACCACCAAGCTCCCCCAGTGCTGCCTGTTGGGAACAGCCACCCCTCTTTGCTGAGGGACAAGGACAACGCTGCAGAAGGGGAAAGGTCCCTTGTTTGGTTTGGAGGTGCTGCAGGAATAGCTGTGCCCCGGCAGCTCCCATGTGTGCCCCGCTCTCATTCCCACAGCTCACCTTCCAGCAGTGACACAGGCACATCTGTGCCACTTCTCCTCCCCGTCCCTTTGAATTATGCCTCAATTCTGAGAGGCAAATGAATTAAAAAACCTAGAGCTGGTTGGAAAATATCTATGAAAACATTTATATAGAAAGGAAAGTGTTTCAGTGACATGATTTTTCTTCCAATAAAGATAGCTTGGAGGAAGGGAAAAATTATTTTTGGAAAAAATAATTTGCAATTTTTAGGTGGTTTCCCAAATTTATATTTTTAACCCTTTAGTTTTTATTTCATGACATGTCCAAGTGTCAAATTAACAAGACAAAGAGATGATGCTATCTCCTACCATTTCATGTCATGGCAGTGCTTGTAGAGAAGGGGATAAATAGATCGTCACCTATAATGGGAAGGAATTTTCAACCCAAAATCCAAACTGAAAGGCAGTGAAGTTCTGAAGCTCAGTTCAGATTCCTGCACTGCCTCCCCCTGCCCCGTGTTTATGGGAAGTGACAAATCAGTGCAGATCTGGCAAACTGAAACCACAAGGGGTTGGCCTTTATTTTCCAACTAGCCTGTGGAATTGCGGTCTCCACCCTGAGCACCCTGCTCTGCTTCGAGGTTTCCGTATGGCAGGATCACCACCACCACCACACAAAAAGACATCACTGAGATCAATGGCTCAAACAGCATCAGCTGCCCTCAGCTTCTCATCAGCCCTGCAGACTTTGCAGAGAAACAGAACTGCAGCCTGCCCAGAAGTGCTACATCTCAGCAGTGCTCTCAGGACTGGCTTGTTACCCTCTGCCAGCCTCGAGATGCCACCTTCTGACTCCTTCATGTTAAAGAAAATATTTCCCTTCAAACTAAACGTGCTGTCTCAGGGCCTCTTCCACCCGTTGCATGGGAGATGCTGCTGCAAACCCCTTCCAAGCCAGTGGAGCTGCTCTGCAGCAAGTGGCCCAGCTGCCTCGTGCATCACCTGCTTGCTTAAGCTGGGAGGTCGCATCTTGGTGTGTACCTGCCTCTTCAGACATCACAGCAATCATTTACCTCCATTTACATTCCCAAACCTGCTGCTGAACAGCTCTCCGGCCATATAGCATATACCCAGTTAGTCACTGTGGAAGAGCTGCTGCTGAAGACCTGCTTGGCACTCGCAGACCCCCTGCCCCGTGTCACTGCTGCCCAGGACTTCCAGCTTAGTTCTACAACATCTGGACAACACACCTGCACTGAAGAGCAAGAGTTGCTTTGAGCAGTGACTCTGTGGCTTTTCTTCCAGTGACGAGCCCCATCCTGCTGCGGGACAGTGGTCCACATCCTGTGTGCCTGCACACATCCACCTGCCCTCTCCTCCTCAAGTTCGTGGATCTGGCTTAGCGTGGTGCTTCCAAAGCTCCTTCCAAGGGAAGCGGCCTCAGTTCTGTCCAGGAACACTCTGCATCTGTGACACGACACGCTGGGTTAACACAGCCTTCCCTGTACTGCACAGAACTCTGCTTCTCCAGCAGCTTTTCACCCCCACAGCTCATCCCAACACCACAATCCCCTGTCTAAAGTGCAAGGGAAAAACCACCAGCAGCAAGACCTGCTGGTTTTCCCCTTCTGTCAGCCAGGACCAGGTTTTTCCTTGCCCATGGGCAAGTGGAGGGCTTCCCACTGCTCTTGACTGGCTCAAGGCACGCAGCAGGAGCCCGGCTGCTGGCCCAGGCCTGGCACTGTGCTCTCCTCAGTTGCTGCTCACAGGTAATGTCTCTCCTTTCTTCAGCTGCATCAGTCAGTGGGTCAATATTTTACAGCACATACCTTGAACTCCTGCTCTAGCCTCAGTCTCACTGCTTGTAAATAAGGAACACAGATACCACTCAGTAACTGTCCACCAGGTTGGTTTTACCACCACCGAGATTAAATCTAAGAAAGAAAAACCCTCTTTAAAATGGAAAGGGGCCATGCCCTGTAATCTTGAGTGCAATAGGAGCTGATTGTATTATTAAACTTATAGCAATGACTTCAGGAAACACGATGTGTTTTACCCAAATTGCACACTTTTTTTGAACAGCTGTAAAATAGAGTATATGTGTAAATATTGCCATCACTGAAGAAGTATTTGTAATTTTAGCATATAAATATAACAGGCTTTTCAGTGGGCTTGATGATGCCACAGGGCTGCGCATCAAGCGCTCGGGTAATTCCAAAGTTGTAAATGTATTTGCTGTACAGAGGAAGTGTCAGTGCTCGCTTCTCCCGAGGGAACGGAAGCGCTGGGAGGCACCAGTCCCCACGGCTCTTCCCGGAGTGGCTGGCACCAGCCCCAGGGCTCAGCAGCTTCCTCTGTGCCCAGGAACAGCCCCGCGCTGACAGGCACAGCCAGGAGGAGACCGTGGGCCTCCTGCAGAGCGGACCTCCGGGAAGGGGAAGGGGCAGGAAGCACTGGGCAGGGTGGCACATCTTGGTGCTTCAGGAGACACTTGACATGAGCAATTTTCTAGCTACAGATCAAAGCAATAGTCACGCTGATGTCATCTCTAATATAATAGACCTCATCTGCCACCCTTGCACGTCATTGGAGTGGTGAAAGCACTGCTCCAAGGCCAGCCTCCAGTGGACTGCACTGTATGTGATGATGAAGCCATTGTTTGCAGATGCCTCTGATGGTCAGTAACCCAAGGACCCAAAGGATCATCTCCCTGGGCTGCCCAGCATCCAGTGCAGGTTCCTGCCTTGGAGAAGCAGCATTCCAGGCTGCATGGAATGTATTTTTAAGAAAATAAATCTATTTTTTTGTATTTGCAGACATATATTTGGGCTGGGGCAGCTTAGTTAGAAGACAAATAATGCAAGAAATCTTTTCATAATCACAGACTGATCCAAGTTAAGCAAATTTTCCAGGGTTACAGTATTGCCTATTTCCCTGACCAAACCGTGTCCAATAGCTCTATCAGCACTGTTTCACCCCCTCACAACCCCCTATCTCAGCATGCTCAGTAGAGGGAAGCCAGCTCTTTCCTCCCCAGGCTGCCCATGCAGTGGATACAGATGGTGCTCACCTCCTTCCAGTTACACAGTGCTCTCTGCATGCCAAATGTAAACACACACTTTATCTGCATGTCTCTCCTGACTCAAACACTGTCAGCTCTACAGTATATAACCAATAAAACTCTTCTCTTTTTACACGTTTGTGGTGTGGTGTTTATAGCTCTGGCTGAACCCCTGCACAGGGGCCGTTACTCAGAAGTATTGATGCCCCTTGGTGAAGTGCTGCAGCAGCTCCAGTCTGCAGCACCGTGTTAGTGCTGAGTCTGCCTCCCCTGTGCTTAGGTGGTTGCCTGCATCCAGGCACATCTCCCTCACTCATTCCTAGGCTGCATTTAATTCATGGACAGTGCACACACACGACACGTCAAGCTGAACACAGCCACTCTCTGCTTGGATGACCTGGATTTGGCACTGGGGAGAGCAGGTTGGAGGGTGATTTTGCAGAGGGAAACAAGTCACCATTTCATTTCCCCCATAGAATCACAGAGTGGTTTGGGTTGGAAAGGACCGTAAGCCCATCGAGTTCCAACCCCCTGCCATGGGCA